ATATGGTGTAGCCACTATATCATAGAAAGATGAAGAGTGTCAGGCTCATTTTTCTTTGGAATGCCTGTTTTAAGTATAATGCTTTTCTCCGGTGGATGAATACTAGCAGTTGTAGTACCATCAGTACTTATATATGTTTTTTCTTCTATGGTTTGAATTTTTTGAATTTTATCAAACGAGGGAATAGTAATATATATATATGTGTATGTGTGTGTGTGTGTGAAACCAATGGGTTATTATACTATAAAACGTATATCTGCTATCATAAAGCATTAAAATTAATTAAATCGAGAATTCACCTGTATTGGATTTGCCCCCAATCTTGTTCATCGCAATGGCCAGGGCAGTGTGTGCTTCGAGGGATATCGACCCATAGCTCATGGCTCCGGTACAGAAGCGCTTCACAATCTCACTAGCTGGTTCCACCTCATTCAGAGGAATCTTGCTATCAGCCTTTTTAAATTTCAACATACCCCTCAAGTTGCAGGACTTGTTCAGTTCATTCACAACCCTAGAGTACTCTTTATACGCGGCGACACTGTTCATCCTTGCAGCTTCTTGCAACTTTGCAATAGCAAGAGGATCATTGAGATGCACTTCCCCTCCCTTCCTCCAGTGGTAAGACCCAGGATTGGGCAAAGCCACAGCCTCTGCACTTCCCTGAGGCAAACTCCTACTTGGAAAAGCCATCTCATGCAAGCGAAGTGTGTCTCGAGCAAGAATTTCAAATGTAGCCCCTTCAACTCTACTAGGAGTTCCTGCAAAACACCTTTGGATAACCTCAGAAGAGAGACCCAAAGCTTCAAATATTTGGGCACCCTTGTAAGAGGCCAATGTGGATATCCCCATCTTTGCAAGAACTTTCATCATTCCATAGTTGCTTGCTTTGAAATATTTCTTGATGAGATCTTCTTTCGAGTGGAACTCCCCATTTGATTTAGGAGGGATCTTGCCATCTATTTGGAGCCTACATATGGCTTCGATGGCCAAATATGGGCATATAGCATCAGCACCAAATCCAACAAGGGTGCAGAAATGGTGCACTTCTCGTGGCTCAGCAGACTCCACTATCAAGCCAACCTGTGTGCGCTCGAGCTTTGAAACTAGATGATGGTGTACAGCACCAACTGCCAAAAGCGAGCTTACAGCTACACGCTTTGATGAGAAAGCTGCACCAAAATAACGGAGTACATTAGTGTCCTCCGAAGCCTTACAGCAAACTAACAATCACACTGAAAGATATCCAAAAACAAATGCATGGAATTAGTGCCCTCCCAAAGAGAGAATGTATAGGCACATCAGTCTACAGCAAACTAACAAGCACACTGTGTATGTTTGTGTGTACAAATACATACATAAATAGAGATATGGAAAAGTGTTTAATGAGCCAAGGCCCGCACAATAGATGTGCATTGCAATTGGATGATCCAGATTGTAGGCCCACACCACTTTTGGTGCATTAACGCTAGGTATAGATACAGAGATCTTGGGGTTGTTTCTCCTCCCAATCATTACATAAAAAATCTATGGTGTCAATTCACCAAATCGACAAGAAAGACTTAGATACCTCTTATAGCAGAGGTAGATCAATTTTAGGTTAAAACATACATGTATTGGGAGTAGAGAAGAAAAGAGATGGGCGCAAAACTCCTATTTAATCTCCAAAGTTTCACAATTAAAGGAGATACAATGCATAGGTCCACAATCACATTTGTGTCATGACATAAAATAGAGTACTTTCTGAATAGATCATCATATCTAAGAACTGTCAATGATTTCATATGATATTCTGAAACACATAATCTACGAATAATGTCTCACCTCTGTCAGACAGCACCAATGTAGTGTAACCTTCACGAATTGCAGCACGAGCCTCGGAGCAAATCCTATCAAGAGTTTCCTCAAGACCTTTGCGCCCACGATCTTTTGAGAAGGTGATGTCAAGAACCTTGCTACACCAACCTCTGTATTCCATCTTTTTAATGGCCTCCATCTCATCAATGGAAAGAAGTGGGCCTTTCAGTGAGAGGCGGTGGCACTGTTCCTCAGTTGTTTCTGTGAGATCACCTTCTGGTCCTATCATGCATTCCATGGAAGTGACTATCTTCTCACGAATAGGATCAATAGGGGGATTTGTAACTTGCGCGAACATTTGCTTGAAATACTCAAATGTCAATTTCTCTCTGTTGGACATAACGGCCAATGCTGCATCATTACCCATAGAACCAAGAGCTTCAGTACCATCTTTTGCCATGGGTAGAAGCAACATCTCCAGGGCTTCAACAGTATAACTGAAAATACAAAAACAGAGAAAAAGACCCAATCCATTAGATGAGAACATTTAAATAGCAAAAATTAGAGCAGAGTTCAAATGGAGTAATGCGCAATGATCGAAAACTTGGAGAATGACTAGAGATTAAAGAATGCAAGAAATTACCCATCCCAAGGAACAAATCAAATTTAAAAGGGTAATAAGATGAGAGAAATTTTCAAAAGCAGTGCATAAAGACGAAAAGAAAGAAATCAATTTTACCCGAATGACTTTAGTGGAGCCAACAGCCCATGGATGCCCATATTTTCCATATTATCATCATGACTATCAGCCTGCAAAACAAAACACCAACACATTCATAGCCTCAAAACAGATTCAAGTTGAAACTAGAGATAAGGAAACAAGTTTTTCAAGGATTTACCAGTGCAACTCCATTTATGGGTGGGGGAACTCTATCATTCTCTGAAACAGATTCCACAATATCCTTGAGCTCTATTTTCTGTCGACTAAGCCATTCTGCATAAGGCCTCGCGAGGGAGTACTGCTTCTTCAGTGCCTCATCATCAACTACTGTATGGTTTTCGAAATCAACCAAGAGCATCATTCCAGGGTTAAGTCTCCCTTTCTGGCGCACATCTTCAGGGGGGATATCCACAACCCCAACTTCACTAGCCATGATAACCCTTCCACTGTGTGTAATGTAGAAACGACCTGGGCGCAACCCATTCCGGTCCAGTGTTGCTCCGAGGTAGCGTCCATCAGTAACTGCCATGTTTTACGTCATTCATTTAATAATTAATATGCAGAAAGCAAGATTCTGAACCCAGAATCAAATTCGAGTGGAACAGGAGGAAGTATATAGCAGATTTAAATTCATCTGATGGAATTCACTATGGGTAGTTAAATTGTCATTACTGACATGCCCACTCCCTCTTCCCCTCCCTCCCTTCGTCTGTCCGTCCCCCCCCCCACACACACTAGAATGGGCAGTAATTGCTACTAACTACCCAAGGTCCTTATTATAGGGATAACTTTAAATAAACACTATATCCTAAATCACGTATAGAGAATCCTTAAAAATAGGTCAAAATTCTCTAAAAAAAATTACTTTTTAACAAAATATCCCTAATTGTAATTCAGTCATCAACCAGCGAATTTTTTTTTTTTGACAATACATGAATCTGATCATAGCAATGCTTTTCTTTCATAGAAAATAGAGATTCACAAATACCTCCATATACAAACAAATGCAAATAAACTACTCAAAAATGCCAGAAAACTAACAGACACATAGTTATGAATGGAACTGGATAAATACAAATTACTACTTACGCAAAAATGAGGAGTATGTCCGAAAATTTATTAAACAAAACAAACATTTGGCTGTGTTTTCAAATTTTGGCAGGAGCAGGGGTTTAATGATCCATAAATTTTATGAAAAGGGGGCAGCTTTTCAACAAAACAACAGTTTACATTATTGTCTCTTTCTACTTATTACAGAAAAAAAAGACAGCATGGGGGGGAGGGAGCAAAGAAAACTATACTGCTCATTATCTCTTCAAGAAATAAAAAAGGAGCCTAAATAGAAGCTTACATGATATGAGTGCTGGTCCATCCCATGGCTCCATCAGAGCAGAGAAGTACTCGTATAATGCCTTTCTTTCAGGATCCATGTTGTTATCGTTTTGCCATGCCTCTGGTATCATCATCATTATAGCTTCAGGCAAACTTCTTCCAGCTCGAACAAGCAGCTCTAGGACACCATCAAAAGCTCCTGTATAGTAATCATATAATTTGTATCAGCAAATTTATTTAAAATGACAGCAACTGAAAATGGTGCTCAAATCATATTGTAATAACTATACCTGAATCAGACGAACTAGCATCCACAATGGGAAGAAGCTTTTGCATCTCATTTTTTGAAAGCCCCAGTTTCTTGCACTTTAACAGACCCTCGCGTGCCTTCATCCTGACATTGAAAAATGTAAAAGAGGGACCCCCCTAAATCAGTGGACTACAGTTGAAAATGATTTTTTTGAAGTTCAAGATATGGTAAAATTATAAAAGGAAGAAAATGAACAAAAACATCATGGCACATATGTTCAAATACCTAGCATAGAAGAGCAAATAATAAGTGGCATCTCTCAATATCGCTGCAATTGTATTATTACAATCAGAAAAACAAAAAAGACAGAAACCCAATGATGCAGTGGTGAAAATGATCTGATGAAGCAAACGGAAGCAAATGCACAGTGCAAAGGGAAATGGCTAGAGATCCCTTTCTGTAGCTCAAGTACTAGAAACACATTTTGAGTGCAAAAATGAAAAAAAAACTGCATGCACTCCCTTCAGTTGTGTGCCATACACCAACCTTAATATTACCACACATTAGACGCCATGGCTATTGCATAGCCATAGACACAATGCACATGCCATACACTAATCCCACACATTAGACTCCATGGCTGTTACATGAGCCATACATACAATGCACATGCCATGGCTATTGCATAGCCATAGACACAATGCACGAGCCCCACGCTAAGATATTTGATTCACAAATGCATGAAAAAAAAAAAATTAATACTACACCTAAAAATTAAGAAATATTGCATGAAACCACATAAAGATAATGTCAAAAGTCACCGTAATGGCGTAATAGAAAGTTGTTCCAGTACAAAACCATGAAAGCTATAGTACCCATATGCACAATTATCCAGAGGAAAAGAAAACTCACCAATTCACGTTTCCTCGGAGTGTGTTGATTTCCCCATTGTGCCCTAATACACGCATTGGTTGAGCTCTATCCCAACTGGGAAAAGTGTTGGTTGAAAAGCGAGAATGGATCTGCAAGGGAACATCGTAGAGTAAGAACTAAGAAGTCAAGATAACAGTAGTAGGAACTCAATTCATAACATCACTCAGCATTTGTCATGAAGTTCATTGCAATGAATCAGTCAGAGCACCATAAAATGTACACTTCAATTCTTGTTTAGCTGTATCTTATTACAAACTATGAAGTTATACAGAGTCAAAACCCTAAGCTACCTTGACATCTCATTACCACTAAAACATCCCTTCCACTTCAAATTGGAAGTCACATCCTCAAGTGCTCAATCCAACTCTAAGCCAGAGCGAATAGAGAACTGTGCCATTGTGTACTGAATCATTTAAGGACCATTGCCACCAAATTCTGCAACATGTTTTACTCCACATCAAGGCCGTCCCCACCTTTACCCAATTCATTCAGTACCCAATTTCAAAAGGACTCAAGATAGTAAAGCTGAATAAATCTTTTGAATTTGCAAGCCTTAAAATAAAACATACTTCTTACATGTAGAGAGAACTTCTCCATGCTACTTGCAAGAAAGAATTGAGATCAGACAAAAAGTAAGAAAGATTACCAGAGCCATATAGCTCGTAAACTTTTCATGGCCTAAGTCTACATAGTAATAGTCCTTCAGTTGGACAGGCTTCAGCTGACCTTTGTAAACAACAGTCCTGACATTACCAAAGAAGGATTTAAAGAAAAAAATTAAGCTATAGTGAATAATGAACTACATCAATGAGAACAGGTTACCAATATCAAAAAGACCACTGTTGTACTAAAACCATGCGTTAATATGAAAGAAACTCACCTAGAAGAAAGAGAACATATGTAGAAGTCCCTCACTCCACCATGCTGCAAGTTCAATGCAGCACGGATTGCAACCATTGAAACCCGCCTCAATATATACATCTGCAAGGATTATAACACAGTATGGAAGACCATTATAAATAAGTAAATGAATGGGATAGATATGGCACAAATAATGAAAACGAAAGGCGGTCAAGTGTTAGAAAACATTTAAGAAAAGAAATATTACTGATGTGGAAAATTACCATATAGATACTATTGATGAATGATGATTAATTATGTCATTTAACTTGTTTCCCCATAGAAACAGTGAAATTTCCTGGGGTTCCAGCCAAAGGACATGACCTATACTGTGGTCCACTTCCCCCTCGGTCCCCCTTCATTTCCACTTCAACTAATATAGTAAATTTTATGCCTTATCATCGATTCTTAGGTCAATTATTTCATCATTCAATTTCATTTAGTTCTCTTTTTCTTCTAAATTTTAAATTCTTTCACTTGTAAGATATCCCACCGAAACCTTCCATACAACTTCTAAGCTGCAAAGACAAGAAAACATACCTGCTGCTCAAAATCAGCATTTGACCTTGAACTGGGGGTAAGAAACACCTGCTCTATTACAGGTTCTGTTTGAAGAGCAGACTTGCCCAAGCCAGTGTTGTCGGTTGGAACACGACGCCACCCAAGTACAACATGCCCTAATGATTCGGCAACCTGCATGAGGCACACAACATCAAGCAAGAAGGCCCATGAAACAATTGCTCAGTATTTTCTTTTTTTTTAAGAATCAAGGTTGTTCCAGTCCATAAGAGTTGTGAAGAACAAGAAATATAATATTAAAGGAAACCACAAAACCATTATGACGTATATTTGCAACATTAATTAGTAGAAAAAAGAAAAAAGCTATTTGCAACATTTGTCCAAAGTTTTGGAAACTATTAGCTTAAAAACAACACAATTTTTAGACCCACTTTAACACATTACAAAATTGGTGCCGGGATCAATATGTGCATCAACATCCAAAGACAATATTCAAACAAAAATAAGAACAAACTTCCCGCGTTTGTTTGCGGGAAATGCAACAGTGTTTGGAGCAGCGGCCACCCAAACAACATCAATTTGACATGTTTTATGGAAGTCCCCCTCTTTCACAAAACAACACGCCGCATGGTGGTATCGACACCAATCCTCGTAGAAAACATACAACTTGGAAATTACTGATAGAAATTCCATTTCCAAATAACAGGATGCATTAACCATTTCCTAGAATAAGAAGTCACAGTCACACAAAATAAGAAAATTTGACCAAATTCCTTCTTTTATAATTTTTTCTTTTTTTGTTGATTTTCAATAATAACAAACGTGCCTGAAGGCCCAATCATGCCAAGTATCACCAAAACATCCCCAATCTTCTTTTCTAAAAATGTCATAAATGCCTCTCACTCTGAGATATGAATATCTAGAATGTCCATTGAGCCACATCGCACTATAATGCCATCACATTCACAAGCCAATGGATCATCAGCCCGAAACTGAATTATTGTAATATTCTTGCAATTTGAACCATTAATAAGTGAAAGGGAAATACTCAAACCCAAGCCAGCCTGGAAAATTCAATTTTGTTCCAGAAATTTTTCTTACACCTGGTACTAATTAAGGTGCTATAAGAGACATCTCGCAACCATTTCATAAATAATTAGTAGTTTTACCTTAGCAAATACGATCTTGCTTTCTTCACAGCGAACCTCAGATGTCGGCAAAAAGAACATGCCCACTGCATACTCACCAGGAGGAGGTAATTCAAATCCAGATTCCTTAGCAACCTGAGAAATAAAACCAGTCTAGAATTATATCCACCTGAATAAACAAGTTTAGAGATTCCAATAGAAAGAGAAAAATTCATGACCAATATAAGACAAAATGGTTAAAGTAGCTGAATAACAATCTGATTAAACATAAAGCATTGAACAAGTAAAAAGAAAGAATAGAACAAATTAGAACTAGCTCAATACGTGCCTCAGAGAAAAACTGATGAGGCAGACCCACGAGGAGCCCAGCCCCGTCACCGGTATTAGTTTCGCAACCACAGGCCCCTCTATGTGACATACGAACTAACATCTCCAGTGCATCCAAAACCTGCAAAAGATTAATGTGCATCACTGTATGCAATAATTAAGTGAAAGGAGATATCTTTTATGATGTGACCATGAAAATTTCAATAAAAACTATGAAACAATCCCATAAGACACTGAACCCAGCAAAAAGTCGACAAAAAAGGGATGGCATGCACCTACAGGAAACTTGTATAAACAAAGGAAAATTAAACAGTGAGAGAATAAATTGAGCATGATATACTCACAGTTTTTCGGCTATATTCACCAGAGAGCTCAGCAACAAAGCCGACCCCACATGAATCCTTGTCAAAAGATGGATCATAAAGCCCAAGTCGCTCAGTAGGCACCCCTGATAGCATGGATTTCACCACTGTCCTAAGCTTTGGAGTACGACCAGGCCCCTCCGACCTCCATAAATGCAGCCTTTCAGAACCAGACCGAACCCTTGTCCCCAAAAACTTCTTCTCAATTGATCTCACCTCTCGTGCATTCTGCTTCAATACTGATCTACAGAACACTGAATTCCTTCGAGAACTTGGAGCAACGAGACCTTTCTGAGCTTTCAGAGAAGGCAATATTACTGAATTATTCACAGGCAAAACAAAACCCGGAACTGTGGCCATTTTTCCAATAATCACCAGTATAAAAGGTTTTGCTCAGTAAGTCAAAAGACTGAAAGCACCAGTATTAATGTTTTGCTCAATAAGGCAAAAGACTGAAAGCTCAAATGCGATGATCCCCCTCCAAAACGATTTCCCACTACTTTCTTCTCTGGTGCTGCAGACAACTGTAGCTCTCTCAGCTGATTTATGTGGTTTTTTAGCTTTTTCGTCTTAGGATAATCAACACCAGAAACACAGGCGAGAAAAACTAACGTATTCTTCGACCAGAGAATCGACCGTGCAATCTATTCCACGACCTTCTCCTCTTACACATGGAAAAGCTCCCTTCTTCCTTCTCACAAGAATGGAACCTCTAGTTTACGATACTTATGATTATCTGATGTAAAAGACGAAATGATATCTCTTTGCATCAACTATTTTTTTCTTTTTCCTTTCTTTTTTTTTTTTCCTTTTGAGGTTCAAATAGATAGAAAACCTGGAAAACAAAAAAAACCGAAAAATCATTATAAGTTTCCCAGAAAACAGTAGAAAGAAAATCTCTCTCTCGACTCCCAATGGTTCTCTCCAAATCCAACTTTCATTATCTGTCATAAATGTGCAGAAATCAAACTAAATCGTCCTTGAATAAATCACAAACAAGATAAGCTATCTACCTGACAGGTCTCTGAAATTCAACTCCACAATGCCCCTTTCTTATTTGACAAAATCAGATCTTGTAACTTTATAACTACGATTTGAACTGGGAAGCTTTTGTTTCCCTCTACTAACAATTTTCTCGTCAAAACGATCACTGTTCTTATGAAAATTTGTGATTTCTTAACGATTTTGAAAAGAAAAGGCAACCAAGAAAGCGATACACCTCCTTCCTTTTCTGCTATGTAGGTATCCACGTCAAAACGCTCTCTTTCTAGCCGTTTCTCACCCCTGAAATACCAAATCTCAATAATCAGACCAGCTCCCGACCTACAAGAAAAGATGATCGAGATAAATGCAAGCAACAAACAGTCTCCCGCTCTCTCTAAGATTACAGAGGCCAGAGATCTCTCTCTCTTTCTAGATGACCAAGAACCAAGAGTTCCAGTCTCTATGGAACACCAAAACAACACGATCTCTCTCAAAAACCGAACCAGGATAGTAAGGCTTACAGGAAGAAATCCGATCAGTAGTAAATCCCTTCTTTCTCTCACTAAAAACCGGGGCAGCTCCGCTCCCCGCTCTCGCGCCCCTGAGAAGACCAGAAAGACCGCCTCTCTCTCTCTCTCTCTACTAACACTCTCTCTCTTACGTAACCACAACTACTCTCCCACGCGTTACGTTATAGTAAGAATAGTGTGTATGCAGTGGTCCGACCCGACCGCCCACTCCTACCCCGCCCGTC